CAATTAACTATACAACTATTATCATAGATCTTTCCTAAAAGTAATTCCTTAACTTCAATCTTATGATCTTATTTAGTCTCTTGTTCTTTTTAGACAAAACTTAAATTTTGTAACATTAAACAATGATTACTTTTAAACCCACATTAACACCAGACATTTCTATTCAAAAGCTAAGATTGTTTTTCTCTTCAAATACCCGAAGATAATGTTTTGCTATTCATTACTTCCGGTCATTTTACCACTCTCTATGTATACTAGAGAAGCAACAGGCTATTTATATCTCTGTGTGTCTGTGTGTGTCTAGAGGAGGGTATAGATTCCAAAGGAAGGGGCTGCTCCAATCTCCCCTCTCACTCTCCCTTCTCACTCAGTTGTCTTTATTTTTTATTTATTTTTTTTTAGTTTAACTCAGATCTGTTTCTTTTTCTTTCTTTTTTCCTAGTTTATCTCAGATAATTTCACCTTTTCTTCCTTCTTTAAGCTTACTCAGATCAGTATCCTCCTCAAATACCTGAACAGCTCTGCGGTCAAAATCAGAATGCCCGCGATCCTAGCTCTTTTTTTTCATTGATACCCTTCTTCTAAGAGTTCAATTCTCTGCGTATTTAAGTTTTAGGATCTATTCCGCCACTTTAAACCGCTATAAATCACTGCTTCTCACACTATTCTCGTCTTCTTCTGAAACGATTCTTCGTGTATTGGATATATTTTAGAGATCTGCCCTTTATCGCAATCTCGCCATATTCCAACCACCTTACAAGCTAATTGCTAAATCGCCTTACAGCTAATTCTATATGGTCTTCTTTCTAAAAAAGATCCACTGTTTTACCCCAGAATTGTTCAAATATTTTAGAGGTCTACTTTTCGGAGAAACTCAAATAAGCCAAATTAAATTGAATTACTTAATTTAATTCCATTTTCTGAATTTTTGATTTTATTTTTTATGTCTGACACATATATTCTTTGGCAACACACCTGGTACTTTAAATAACACAGTTCTTTTAAAGCAGTCTCAGTCAATGTCTCAAATCATCAGGCAGACTTAGAACTATTTTAGAATAGGAAAAGTCTTACCTGAAATGAATGAGACAAATGCCTGAAGATGTAATCCTGTTCGTGACGCCAAATGTAGACTTGAAAATCATGCTTCCCCCATTTAATGTTGAATCACGGAAGCTACACCAGTTACTTTTGCCAATAGATTTATTATTTAAATGTGTGTCATGTCAGACAGAGAGAAACAGGCATATAACAATAAGGCTACAGGTGAGGAAGTCTCATTCTAGATTTAACTGTTCCCCATTTGTCTATCTTCTCACCCCATTATCTCTAAGTTTCCTCCTTCCTCTCACCCCCTCATGCCTTATGTTTCTCTGTGGTGGTACAGTAAGATTGAGCTTTTATACATCACAAAGAGTCTTACAGCTTCCTTGTAAGGTAACAAAACATGTTGCTTTGAGCTTCTTAAAATTAGAACACATATGTCATATGTACACGTCATGCTTAAACATGGCACAATCCACTTCCATATTAAGAACTATCCTTGTTTTATACATTAGTGGTACATTTGCATCAGTGGAAACATTCCTTTCCCTGCAAAGAACATGCCAACTGTCTCCGTGAACATTGCATTGCAGACATAGTACCCCTAAGCAAAATATAACTCAAGCAGCTCTCTGCTCAGCACACATGTACAAACACTGTCTGACTTCATAAAAAAACATTATGAAATTATTATTAAAATGAATAAAGAAAAATAATAAAATAAAAATAAAATAACATTAAACAATATTTTTTTCAGTCTTCAGCCTGATAATGAAAAAGAAAAATTAAGGCATACAAAGTCCGTTTCAAATTCAATGAATGAATGAATTTAAAAAAAATCTATTAAAACTGATAAAAAAGTATAATTATAAAAAAATAAAAAAATACAATAGGCAGTCCAGTCAGTAATGTCAGAGAATGCGCTAAACAACGCACTGTGCTTTTTTGTTTGAACGTGGCTACCATCGGGGCACATCTGACATTTCTGGATGCTGATTCCAGCTGTGAATAGCATAATAGCTGCAGTAAATGCTGTCTCACCATGTTGAGAATGAATCCAGGGAATTCTTGCTCAACTATTTTACTATTGTTGAATTGTACTTTAATTTTATTCTGGCCTATTAGTATAACTACACATTTTGTCAAAACGAAAGAGAAGCAAAAGCTAAATGTGCCCAAATTGCAGTGTTTTGGAGTACAGTGTGTATAGTAAGTAGTATGTGAGGTATTTGCAATCTCTCCCTCTCTCTTTCTCTCTGTAGAAGGTGGATGGAGCGGTCTTCAAGGGGCAGTGGAGAGACTTGCTACAGAAGAGGAGTGGAAATTAAATCAGCGGGATACACAGGTTTGGGGCAGATGCAATGAGTGCCAAGTGCAAACTAATTTAATTGTGTGTGTGCTGCTATCCCATGATGCCGGGCCCAGACCAACCACCCCACGACCTTCACGACCCTACAGCCTGCCACAGGGAGTCAACAGTCTGCTGAAGGGGGGTGGCTGCGAACACACTTGGTTAGTGGTCTGCACCTAATTTGTCAGAGAGTGTTTGCATGTGTGTATACAGTATAACACTAAATGTGTTTCATGTGCTCATGGTTGACAAAGACATTTACTATAGTTAGATAGTCTTAGCATTTGAGAAAAGAAAGAGAGAAAAATGAAGCATCTCATAGATGGATCAGATGGAAAAGGAAGCAGAGATTGAATAGAGATGAAGGTGGAAAGAGATCAGGGTGTGATGGAGAGAGGTAGGAAGTGCCACAGGTTTGTCTGTGACGCCGCATGCTGTTGTGTAAGCCAAACAAACAACAGGTGTTGGGCTTCTGTAAAAACCCTCTTGCTCCTCACTGTGAGGAAATTGGAGTCGGCAGACCTGTGAAGTTCAAAAGAGGAGAAAAAAAAAATGAAACAAGAGAAGTATCACTCTCAGCATGGATGGGAAATCAAATGCCATGCTAACATACAGATACATGTATGTATACATAAGTATACACCCATGGGAGCAGACAAACACATGCACACCTAATGTTAAATCTTCAGTGTCACATGATCATTCACATATCATTCATTCTGATTTGGTGCTTAAGAAACATTTCTTATTATCAATGTTGAAAATAGTTGTGCTGCTAAATATTTTTTGGAAACCATCCATTTTATTTAGGATTTCAAAAGAACAGTAATTATTTGATATATTTTGTAACAATATATTTATGTAAACATATCAAACTTCTGTATTCTCCAGTTAAGATGACAATTTGTTGTAGTAAAAACATTTAGTTTATGGGAAATATATGTTGGTTGATAATTATAAATCAGCATCTGGTCCCAAAGAACCATCTTAATGAAAGATTATTTAAAGTGTTAAATATGCATTGTAAATTTCAACTCTTTTAACTGTTGTTTATTACAAATTAGTTTTACACTATATCGTCAAAAGGGTTCATTTAAAAGGAATATAAATTAAAACATGTCATGTTTAGTTTGACTCCCTGAGGCTGACAAACATTTTCTGAAGGTTAAGCACTTTAATGACCATTTGTTGAAAAAGAGACCAATTTTGAAGAGTTTCAGGCTCTATTTTTTACCCAATTTGCGGAAAGTGACGCTTGTTCTTATTTGCGCCTGACTTCCTGATGAGTTATGTAATGAGGGGAAAAACACATATTCAGTCATTTGCACAATGGCCAATATAACACAGAACTTAATAACATTTATTTTCCATTTATCATGAATATAAAAGGCTTCCATGGTGAATTCAAATGTTCGCATGCCATTAAAGCTTAGCTCAGCGGTTCTTCCACTCATTTGCATACTCTTTCGCTCTCCCTACCTTTCTTTCTGTTTTTTTCTCTTTACTTCCTCTTGTGTGAGTTGAAGTGAAGTTGATCATCCTGTGCCGCATGTGCTGTCATCAAGGCATTCACTCTCACCGATTCGATTTGAATTTTCAATCAGTTCATGCTGTGTAAATGTTTCTGTTTTTCTTTCACAATTAACCAGTTGGATTTCAATTAATCTTTTGCACATTTATAATGCCTCAAATATGATTACATTAAAGTGTGCTATTGATCACATAACACAAAAGGTGTGCGTGACATTAAACATCAAGATATTGCACAAGCATTTCATTTACATTTTGACACTTTTAATTAAAGTGACTTATGAAGCATTCAAGGTTGTGCTGTGTGACAAACTTTGATATATTATTCTCATATTTATCTCCTATTACTTTTACCTAAATGGTGTAATTGATACCATGTCTTAATATGATCAGATTGGCTATGAATAGTGGTGATTGGTTGAGATATTTGTAATGTTTCATGACACTGAAATTTACTTCCAAACATTTTAACATGCATTAGATGTTTTTGATAAATATGGCTCATAATGCCGTGTGACCTTTAAAAAGCTTAATGCCAAGTCAGGCATATTGAATGCTGTCTGTGAGTGAAGTGGTTTGTGTGTGTGAGTGTGTTTGGATCATCCTGGGCACAATGGGGCATCGTCAAACAGAGGGCACTCCACGTGGGGGCATTTGAGCCAGAAATATGATGGAGAGTCCTTTCATTTGATGTCTTCTTTAAAGGGCTCTCCAGTTTGGGTTGAGGTGGGTGGTCCTCTCTAATGAGGAGACCAACCTTAGACCAGGTTAGTTTTTTTCCCTCTGCTTTCTCACTCTTCAGTATGTCACCTTTCTATATGGGATCATGCTGTTCATAAGTAATGGTTCAGGACAGTGAGCTGCAATACCTGCTTCATATTCAATTTTTGGGCATAGTCCATCCCATCCTAGTAACCAAGACTATCAAAAACATTCCCCCCACCCCCCAAATTTTCTACCATGTTTAATAGACACATATGAGGAATTACTATTTAACTGTATATCGTATCATGGTATCATGCGTTCGGGGCTAAGTGTTCTCATCTGAAACAATCAACTAGCCTATGTGTAACCAGGTTGAAATATATTTTCTTTTTTGTTGAAACTTCACCAAATCCTGATAAATATTGAAGAATATTTGTTTTATTAAGTTCATAACAAGTTTTGTACGGTTTAGAGTATATTCAAACTGAAGTGTTAATACCTGTACTGTCACTTTAAGGGGTCTCAGTATTACGACGTCAACTCGGCGCCTCTCTCAGTTCGCGCTTTGCTCACTGAGAGGAGGTAAGGATTTTTCTGCTGGTTATCGTTAGGAGTTTATTTCGTTTTGTAGATAATATAATATAACAATATGCAGTTATAAAGTGAATGCTAGTCTTAAAGGGTTAGTTCACCCAAAAATGAAAATTCTGTCAGTAATTACTCACCCCTATGTTGTTCCAACCCCGTAAGACTTTCGTTCATCTTCGGAACACGAATTAAGATATTTTTGATTAAATCTGAGAGCTGGATCACTCCTCCATAGGCTTCTTAAGGGAGCGGAACTGGCCGGCCCAAAAGTTATGAAAGACATCGTTAAAATAGTCCGAGTGACTACAGTGGCTCAATCTTAAGTTTATCAAGCGACGAGAATACTTTTTGTGCGCAAAAAACAAACAAAAATAACGACTTTATTCAAATACTCATTTCCTTCTCTATGGGCCTTGAGATTTCACGTAGTGATATTGCGCAAAGCTTCTGTGTTGTATGTCACACGTAGGCTCACTATTGGCAGACGCTGGTCATGTGTGTGATGCGTGTGGCTACAACCTAGAAGCTTTGCGCAGTTCCACTACGTGAAATCTCAAGGCCCACAGGGAAGGAAATGAGTAGTTGAATAAAGTCGTTATTTTGTTTGTTTTTTGCGCACAAAAAGTATTCTCGTCGCTTGATAAACTTAAGATTGAGCCACTGTAGTCACTCGGACTATTTTAACGATGTCTTTCATAACTTTTCAGCCGGCCAGTTTCGATCCCTTAAAGGTGAACTAAGTAACTTTTTTACCTTAACCGAACAGCTTTGGAGTCATTGTAATGTTTATATTAATGATTTCGTGTTGAATGGTGGTCGTCTCGCACCCCCCTGGTGCCTGTGAGCCGCAAAACCACCCTTGCAACTTTGGGCCGGCGAGCCGCGTGTTAGGAAGTATCGTGTGATATCAGGTCTCGCGAGGTAAAGAATTGCTTTACGGCAAAAAACAGATCTGATAAAATTCTGATAAAATGAGCATCAAACAGAAATAACCCGGCGCCATATACATGTGGTGTTGGGCGCGCGCAGCTCTTAAAGGGGCCATACCTTTTTTCCACTCGTTACAGCGTCCATCCTACTGAACAGGTACCGTGTACAGGGGGAGGGGATCCGGCCGTAAGTATGAGCCATCTCTGTGTGAGTGCTATTCACGACAGTACAAGTACTCCACAGCGACTCTAGGGGTCGATGTTTGACAAAAAAGGAATTCCTACTTAGTGCTGCTTTAAGAAGCCTATGGAGGAGTGATCCATTTTTGGGTGAACTAACTCTTTAAGAGTGTAAACATGCAGCCATGTCGTTAAAAAGTAAACCTTGTAAATACACTTTTGCAAGTTATACGGGAGACATGTTTTTCAGTGCTACGGGGTTTCCTGTGTGTTTATTTGCTTATAGGAGACTGATGAACAACGTGTGTGGAAGAGACTGCATGTTGCAGAGCATTTTTTTGTTTTCTACTAATTTGTACAGATACCACTGCTATACAGCTTGCTTTAAAGGAGCAACCAGTAGCTGATTGTAGTCCGGGTCCTTCTTTCAATCAGCACAGTCACCATCACAGAACACAACGCAGATCACACAGACGTCAATGGTTTTTGCATTTAGCCAGGTATACGCCAGACCACGCACACCCGTTACTTATGCAGCATGACTAAACTTGTTTATTTAATTTGCCATAAGTGGTGCATGAATTAACAGCACACACCAAAAGTGTGATAAGATTTGTGCAAAGTACTCCAATTGCGAGGCTGATGATAAAATGTGCAAACTTTTGAATTCTATATCAAATTTACTATACAGTATCAAAAACAGCCACAAAATCTAAAAAGACTGATTAGTAAAAGACATAATGAGAAGGCTTTTTAAACTGCTCATAGCCACCCTTACAGGAATTTGATCAAATTTAATTCAGTACATGTTGTAATTACTATATATTAGTTTTTAGTCTACTGTTTTTCATAGAAACTGCTGTAGATTGGTTTTTTTTTTAATGATACTCATTTGCCTATAAGCATGGTAATGAGGAGGCATCAGTGGTCTTGCATATAATTGCAAATTACTTGCAAATACCACAAGAACTGATACATTTTTATAAGGGCAAGTACAAAGTAGAATCAAGAGCTTTAAAGACTGGACCATTATAAATTATGGACCAAGAGTTTTCTCTATGAGTAAAATGTGTTCTGTTCTAATGATGATTATATTAGGAAAAAACTGCCTTTCTGATAGGCTATCCAAAAAGATTACATAAATCATTAAGAGCCTAATGAAATGGACACAATATCTGTTAAGTGTAGCATTTTTGGTAGAAATGCTTCCCATGGTACTCTAAAGTAGAAAATTCAGTCGAACTGAAAAGGTTCCAGATGCTTAAATAATATAAAATACTTCAGACCCGGGTATCCAATGGGATCAATGAATTGTGTTAATTATCAATTATGTTAATAACTAATTAATTGCAGTAATCAACTTTGCATATGTGGGTTATAAATAAGTTACCACAAAAAAAACGTGTGGGGGGAAAGATTAATTTCACAAGGGAGAATGCCCCAGGACTGCTAAAACGCTTCACCATTCATCCCTCAACCCCCTTTCCTATGTTCAAACCAAATCTACACCCTTGTACCCAATCAATCTATTGAAAATGTGCCAGCACAGCCACAACATATTTTCAAATGATAAAGTCCAAGGAGGTCTATAATACAGTACCTGGAGAAATATACAGTATCCATTAGCATCTGGAAGTATGGGAACTTTGAGCACATATGTCATTTGGGGAAAGATGTTTTTAGGAGCCAAACGGTGTAGTTATGGCATTTACCAGTAGGGGTGTATTAGCCAAACCTTGACCGTTAATCCAGTGGTTCCCTCTTGAAATCACAACAGGATGCCTAATCAAGCAAACCAACACACTCCATCACTGATTTGTGAGTAGCAGCATCCAACAAAACAGGACAATTATCAACAATAATGTTTAATGATTGTTCAAATTGGCTGATTCCCTTTAACTTCCTTCCACACTCTCTCTCTCTCCAGAGGCGGGCAGCTCTTTTTGAGCAAAATGGGGTCCTTTTGGGGGGTTTTGAAGATCAGGGAAGACATTGTGGCCTTTTGTGACTAGCAAGGTTTTCATTCAACCCACTGTTTGAGCTTTCAGCCCTTCATTCATAATTGAAGGCCATTAACTCCCATGGTAAGTGCCTGTAGTTTAATTAGCTGGTCTGATGGCCTGGGTGCTTCACTAGTGAGCACTGAGCTTTAATTGAGTCTTCGGTCAGCAGGCAGACAGGGACAGTGATCGAAATCACCTTCAGCACAAATAGAAGTCAAGGTGGACATTTTTAAAACTGCCTTTTAAACATGGATTTTAAGTTTCACTGCTCTTTGTTCTGCCTTTAAGAACATCCATGAATTCACCCTCCTTCTGTTCTTGTGTGTCCTTGAAAGCTGTATAAAAAGATGTATTAGAGTTTGAACTGACAGTTGATTCGTTCTGCCACTAGTCAATAGGTGTGTTTGAGTTGAATTATGCTAGGTTTCCAACGACATGCGAGTTTTGCCGATTGCAGGCGGAAAGGAGTTTAAAAAGCATTTTCTGCCCTTACATCCGATTCCCAAGGCGAGGGCGACACGTTTGCTCACAAAGACAGCTTTTTAATGTCGTATTATGAAGCAGGCGTTCCTGTATGCGCTCACACTATTGAGCTGGAAACTTTATATATTGGTATAGAGATTGTGCACACACAGAAACATTAAGGAGCTTAGTAACGTGTTTTCAACCTCTGCCCCATAAATTGTATAAACACAACCGCTTTGTTACTGAAAGCTACATTACATTTCTCAACAACAAGGTGATAACTTCAGTTTTTGTAATTAGACTCACAGCTTCACTATTACATAGAGGCGCTATACAGACGCTTCACACTCACAATCTCTCTCACTCTCTCTCTCTTTCTCGGTAATACATTTATGCAAATTCATTCAAATAAATGTCATCTTACTGCACTACTTTATTTCACTTCAGAATTCTAGATCTTTACGAACCGTTGATAAAACAACAATGGAAAATTACCAAAAAAATTTCTGGTATATCCGTTCAGTGCAAATTTGGACCACAAACATCCATGACCGTTTTTAACTTATCTAAGCTGGCAAGTAATCATGATACCACCTGACGTGAATTATATAAATCATTTTAATAGCACGGCCATTCAAAATCCGAGGGTCGACCCAGGTGTCGCGTAGTAAAGCGATCAGATTAATTTTGGGCGGGGATTAATGTAAACACAGATATGGGATACCAGTCGTGTCTAAAGTGAATGTAAACAGGTGGGACAAAAAAATCAGATATGGTTAAAAGATCAGGGCCCGTATTCATAAAGAATCTTAATGCAAAGAGTAGCTCCTAGTGACAAAATTTTAAGAAAATTCTTAGAAATGTGGGCGTTTACTCTTAAAATTAAAGAAAAAAGTCATTCAGAAAGTATCTTAACCCTTAAAAGAGGGCTTAAGGTCAAAATTGTTAAGAGTATGGACGAGGACTTTTAAGAGGCTTAAGAGTTTCTTTAGCAGAGGAGAAAATGGCAGAAAGACGAAAAGAAATGCGTTGCAGACAATGGATGACAGTGAGTTAATAAGACGCTATAGATTGACACCCGGCCCGAATGTTCCTTTAAGGAGGGCCTTGTGTTCATCCACTAACTGGGCTAACAGTAAACACTGTTCCTCTGTCCAGTCGGGCTTTCTCGTCCTTCTTGGTTTTGATTCCATGTTTGTTACATTAAAACTAACATTCAAACCACCAATTAAATAGACATGCCAGCAATCAGTGTAATTGGAAAGAGTGGAACAATTTTTATCATTCTAAGCCAATCAAATACCTTATAGGAAATTAACAGCATGGTAAATAAAAAAAAAGGATTTATATACTGTACAAATATATAATGTGTGTGTGTGTGAGAACGGTCAAATAGGAAAAATTACGCATGTTATTTCAAAATGAAGGCTTAGAATAGACCCTATACTTAAAATCACTCTTTTTTTCCTTCTTGGACAACCAACCAATCACAGTCTTCAAAAGATTGTGTCATACATAGCAACGGGGTCAACCTCGCCTCCTCACTAAGATGAGAGTTTTTGTCTTTTCCTTACTCAGAGTTGCTCTCAGATCAGTCCCGAATCGCTCTTAAGCTAAGACTCCTACATAAAAGTTTTTAAGCTAAATTAAGAGTTTTCTGAGAGGATTCTTAGGCCCTGTCCACACGGACACAGGTATTTTTATAAGCGTGACTTTTTTTTTACGCGGTTCGGCCGTTCGTCAACACGAAGACGCACTGAAACTGAACATTTTTGAAAACCCCTGCCAGGGTGAGGATTTTCAGAAACGCCGGTTACAGTGTTGTCGTATAGACAGTGAAACCGGGGTTTTGCCTTGCGACGTCAGAGTGTGCGCCGTTATCCGCTGTGTTTGACGTCAGATTTGCGCTTCTGATTGGCCAACGTGGCTTTACGGTTAAGGTTTATATCGCCGCCTGCTGGCGTGGCATGCTCTTGACCGCGCTTGATAGCGTGTTTTTGCGTTTTCATGACCGAGCATGTGTGGATGGGATTTTTTTTTAAAACGCTGTAGGAAAAACTCAGTTTTAAAAATACCCGTGTCCGTGTGGACAAGGCCTTAGAATCTTTATGAATACGGGCCCAGGTGTGTAAAAGCAGCCCAAGAGACTGAAAGAAACTTTTGTTGTGTTGTGTTTTATTATATTATTTTAATTTGTTATCGTTTATTTTTATTATTGTGTTTTCTTTTGTTTTGTTGTGTTTTGTTCTGTCCATGACAATGCGAGCTCTCAGTGATTATGTGTGGAGTGCTGTAGATATTTGACCTGCATCATCTCAGCTGCACATTCTCTCCAATCACAAATACTCTGTCAACACAGCATTACACTTGCCAGAAACCGTAAAGACTGCTGATACTGCACTGTGTGAGTCATTTATGTAAGGTAAACACTGACCCACCTGTCACGATTCTTCTTAGTTTCGCCCTCATGGACTCCTAGTTTGTGTACCTTCAGTCACATGTCTCCTTTGTTCTCAGTTTCCTGCCACTTGTTTTTCTCCTAGGTTGCTCATTGTGTTCTAGTTTGTTTCTATGGTTACTCATCAGTTCCCTTGTTTGTATCACCTGTGTTAATCCAAACATCTTTGTTTTCACTTAGTATATGTAAGACTGGAGAAACTGGAAGAACTGGAAGAGAGGGCTACTCTCTGAGAAAACAAAGGAAATTAACATTTGAACTCTCTTGCTATATTACCATCCCCATTGAAGACACGATCACACTTGAGTTGATCACCTCCCAATTTACACATCATTCCCTTCACCATCCCTACCTGAATTCAACCAAAATCTATATGGTTTAATATGAACAATTATCATACAGTATTATACATGTTTGGTATCATTTAAAATGTCTCAGTGCGACTGGTACAAAGGTCTCATTCCCACAGAAGTAAA